GTGATTGATTATTAAGCAATGGTGCAGTGTAAGATTTCCTGACCAATGTTGGTAGAGAGACCATTTGTCTGCAATAATGAGATTTCAAATTCACAGAAAATTACCGTAACATATTCCTTTGCATTCATTTTAATATATTTCTTTACCGTCTTGAGAAAGATTACTAAATACTATCTAATCTGAACAATAATTTTTTGCTTGCATCATGATCAACTTTTTTCTGTAATTCACATCAAGCTTCAGTCTTCTTCAGTCGTAACATAAGATACTAACAAATTAAAACTGATTTCATTACTGCTCTTCATTAGATTAATTAACCAGAGCAATAATATTACGAAACATTTCTAAATAGTCGATTTGCCTACCAAATGGAGAAAAAGATAGAGGCACAATTAAAAATAAAACTAAAAAAGTGAAAAGGATTGAAGAATTCAATGACAGTGAAATTAGTGATGACCGAAAAAATTACTCAATAGCTCGTATTACAGAGTCGAGAGACTGATTTTAGATCGTACCCGATATGTAATATCAACATATGTTGCATCGGATATGAAGCGCATCTAATAAGCTAATTGGTAACAATACTTATCTTGCCACCATATGTCGCCTTCGATTAGTTGAAGACGAAGCATTGTGCAAGTAATCGTCTTCTTCGCTACAACTGGTTTTTTATACTATAATGAAATAGAAGCGTACTGCTGAAATTAATATTTTGCTGCACAGCGACAACTCCATCCTGGTGTAAAATCTGTTGAAAAGGACATAAGTTCCATAAATTTCATTTTGACTCAGATGACGACTTTTATTCTTTTGCAGGTAACATGCTAAACATTCATCAGCTTGCATTTGCGCTTCCTGTACTGTCGCATTTTCCTGCTCAGCATTCGCATGTGTAGAGCCAGTTTTTCATCACAACACATTTGTGACCCCTTTTATAACTGCTCTTCCCTCTCGAATTCCTTTTCCAGATGTCACTTTCGACCTACAAATTAGTTTTATTTGAATAAATTTGTGGTTTGCATTAATGATCCTCCAAAGTTCTAAAAAATTAACATATGAAGTCATATCTTAGTATTCATCCCTTCCTACAACTTTACTTCCAGCACCGAAATGAGTAACTAATTTGAATACCAAAATATAACACAAAACTAAACGAAAATGATTTCTAATTTCAAAACAGAAATCAACAGTTGAGAGTTCAAATGTCGTTCAAGCTGAGCGGCCAGCTGACCTTCTATCTGCTGCTCATTTAGGAATGTGGTTGTTGAGAACTTGCTAACTGTGCTTCATCTCATGTTGATTAAATTCTTCTTGCAAACTATAGTGAGATTGTAATTTTCATGATTGCGTAACCATAAAATCACTAAAGCTTGTGGATACATAATTAAAACCACAAACATTGAAACATTTTTGGAATATATGAACATCGAAATAATCAATATCGTCCTTAATATAACTAGAACTAATTGTTGGGAAAAGTGATAACAATAAAAGAGAAAAAGACAATTTTCTACGACTCGAATCCACGGCTCACGGCCCCATAAATGCTTTCCACACTACAATCGTTTTCTGCAAGGAGAAATAACTTAGCTTATAATACTTCTTACTCAAATAATACATCAAAGGAATCGAGCCGGTACGAACTGTAATAGCAAAAATCATCGTTTAGTCACTTTTTCTGTTAGTAATGTTGTTCATAACCTGATGAAAAACGATAGTTTCAAATATTAGATATAAACTGGCGCTGAAATACCTTGAAATTTGACTAAAAGGATTCCTCTATGGAAAAGGTTTAAGAATGGACAAAATGAAATGAACAATAAAAGAGATGCCCAACCATAAAACCTCAAATCTTTTTCAAAGCCCAGAATTCCGGACGTAAAACCAAATTTCTAAAAAACGAGTAATTACATTTCTCATGGTAAGATTATCGAAATAATTTAAATTTAAATCTCGACAGTGTAACCCGCCTTTGCATCCAGTGCTTAAGAGATCAGGCCTGCGAAAAGCAGGACGAACAGTGAACATATATAAAGCGACGCAGTCTATTTGAAGGACAGAGACAAAGATAACTGATAACAAAGACAATGTCGCATCCAGTTAGACCAATCCCACTTGTTCTACACCTTCGTTGCTAACATTACAAAGCTGCAGGAGTTTTAGATAAATCATGCACTGACGCAGTACGAAAACAGTAGCTTTAACTTGAAAGACCGCAACTTTTATCCAAACAAGAGACCACTATGAAGAATGACAATACAAAGCTGTTCTTGGCTTTGAAGAAATCATTCAACATGGAATATGTATTGGAAGTTTACAAAGGAAGAAGGCTAATAACATGCAAAAAACTGAACTTGAGATGAATCGCTCTGAAAATACTTCGGTTACGGAATACACAGAAAACTTCCATATCAAATTCCATTTCTTTCATCCGAGACCATGAATAGTTACATTAAGGACTGCACTATTTCTAGTATTGCATCCACTGTTTCTTTGAACGATATAGTGCAGGAAGATTACCTCCGAAAAATGAGAAGGCAGAGCATGAAAATAAGTGTGAAGAAAACAAGGTTAGAAGTTCACCGAAATCTCACTCTGCTTACACCACCCCAAACAGGAAGCTTGAGCAAATCAGAAAAAAACAAACATTAATGGCGTAAAAGGCAAAAAAAGTGTCTGTGTTGAACTGTTAGCAAGCAAAATCCCAGCAATTATTTCCAGTATGCAGTGGAAGTTAGAAATACGTGAAAACAGCGAACAATAGCGGCATTGAAAATATGATGTGAAATTCTCCATTATATTTTAACCTCCCTTTATTCACAAAGGAGATTTAAATTTATAACAGCGAGCATAGTACTTATCCTTCTCTCACTTCATCGAATGAATTTCGAAGAAAGGAAACAACAAAGTTGAGAAAGAAAACGAAGGAATACCCGCAGCATAGGTTCTTACCAATTTACAATTCATCAAAAAAAAAAGTGGTAAATGCAGAAAAACCCATAAATTCACAAAACGAAACTTTGTAAAATTAGAAGGTTATCAAATGGGAAATTTTTAAAATCATAGAGAAGCGAAGCAAATGTAAAACAAGCCGATATAAAATTCCAAAATACAGAGAAAAAGAATGGAACAAGAACTCACTAAAGGATTCCAAATTGAAAAAGTATCTGAAAAGCAAGTAAAATCTTAAAATTCCATATATATATATATATATATATATATATATATATATATATATATATATATATATATATATATATATATATATATATATATATATATATATAAATAAATAAA